GATGTTTGTGGCTCATCCCTGGTGCTTCTGGAAGGGATCTGAAGGTGCACACTCACCACTCAGCTGGGCCTCTAACGATTCTGTGTCAAGTTCCAGTGTGGGTTTTTTGTTTCTCCAAACCAAGAAATTCTCCAGCCCCAGCTGGGTGTCCTACAGTTCAGTTCTGACGCTATCTACCTGGAGATCACATCAGATCCCACAGGTTACACACTCAGCGCTGCAAGACTGCCCCACCCCTCCTGCGGACACCGGTCGCAAGTCCAGGTTGTCACCTGTGCTTCTGACCCACAGGCTGCAGATTGGAGTTTCCCATGACCCCCTCCTTGGGTTCAACTGGTTTACTAGAATGGCTCGCAGAACTCAGAGAAACCCTCTATTTTTTGGATTATCAGTTTATTAAAAAGATTAACTCAGGAACAACCAGATGGAAGAGATACATAGGCCAAAGTAGAGAAAACTGAGCGGAGCTTCTGAGCTCCCTCTGAGCTCATCACTCTCCCCAGTCTACGTGTTCATCAACCCAGAGGCTCTCTGAAGCCCATTCTCTTGGCTGTTTCAGAGGCTTCATTACACAGGCATGATTGATTAAATGACCGACCAGTGGCAGTTGAACTCAGTCTCCAATCCTTCTTCCCTTCCCAGAGGTCAGGGGTTGGTTTCCCATGGCAACCAGCTCCCATCCTTAGGTGACCTGGGGCTTTCCAAAATTCACCTTATTAACATAACAAAAACAGCTTTCTAGTGCTCGCCACTTAGGAAATTCCAAGGGTTTTAGGGTCTCTGTACCAGAGCCAGGGATGATGACCACGCATATGTATTTCTTATTACCAATCACAGTATCACAGCCTCATTCATTACCCGTTGTCCACAACCACAGACCAGCATTCTTTACAGGTGGAACCTAGGTCTCCTTCCTATGCCCAGGATATTGCAGGTACCCAGTAAAGGTTTTCTTTTTCTTGTTGAGCTAATAAAATAATGCCCAACCCACGGGCTTGTGGAGAGGGTCAAGTGAGCTCCTGGGAGGGAGATCAACATGTAATCAGGATCTTCCATTTCTGAATTAGTGCACATGTGTGAGAAGCCAGAAGTACCCCTGACCTTTGCCCTCTTTTTATGAATGAAGCTTAGATGGCCCCACCAGTCAAGGCAGAGTTTGCACTTAACCTCAAAGGGCCATTTATTTATGCTTTAATATGGTAATTCGTATGTCTTTTTCCTGCAAACTTACAGGGAGGTGTAAATATCACTTCCTCCGCTGTCTCTGCCTGAGCCCGGAGCCTGCCTGTGTGTCTCCCTCCAGTCTGTCTCGGAGCAGGGCTGGGTCCCTGCCTGGAGGTCCAAACTGACCTGGACCAGCCCAGAACCCCCAGCAGCTGTGTGTCAGCTGGCACTGGGGCAGAGGGGCGGATCCCGTGTAGATTGGGAGGTTGGAATTGTTCCTAAGGTCTGAGATGGACTGGGGAACATATGGCATCCGGGCAGCCCAGGAATAAGAGTGAGGGACCTGCCTTCCGGGCCTGTGCCAGGCAACTTGCTGGACCGCCGTTTCCCCATCTGTCCATTGGAGATAGCGATTCTCAACCGTGTCCTTCAAGGACCAATTTTGAGGGTCAGTCTAGGCAGTGAATCTAAAAGCTCTAAGGAACAGGCAAAGCTGAGGCTTCTGGCTGTCCTGCCCGATTTGTGGCTGCTCTTGTCCTCCTACGATGAGGTTGCCCTGATGCTCCCCCACCCCCAGCCCCAGCCCC